ATAGTGTTTTTTTTTCGCAAACATTTAACGAAAATTTTATTGATTCACATAGCACTTATTGTCAACAAATGATAAAAGCTCCATTAGACAGAATTGTGTATTTAACAATCAGGTTCTATGGAATATTGAGAGATTCGTTCTGTGGAATTAGAGCGTGTTATATATAAATAAAAATCAACCAAACAGCACGTTGAAATTGCCTCAAATTGATTCGTTCTAAAATTGAATCTGAGTGTGCTATATCTAAATTAAAGGTCAACCAAATAGCACACTGAACTTGTCTAAAATTAAGATCCACAATGAAAAGTGAACCCATTTAACTCAAAATCTCTTCAAACCAAAACTTTCTGCATCTAGCATTGCACAGAAATTGCCTAACGATCAACCTGATTATAGGCAATTCTACCATTTCTACTCTATGTGGTGCCCATCTTGTTGCTTCTTTGCTCGTACTACTTCGAATGGTCACAATGTTTATTGTACATCGTCAATATCTACTCAATCTGTCTTCCGTGGCATGCCCTAGCGAATCCTCTGATCAATCTGTATTTCATAAAGCCGTTCCGGAAGCTCGCCATTCGTCTCATTCTCTTTCCAATGCGACTATGCACATTAAAATACGACAACAAAACGAGCGTATCAAACGCGATCATGTTCATCACTGAACCGTCGAACGCAGTGAACACCTCGAAGAGATCTTAAAGTATTTGCTGTAAAATACATGTCAGTCAAACAATGTTTGTAAGAATGTAAACGATGAATGCTCTAAAACTTGTGACAGTCTCATAATAAATACGAATGCTCAAGCAACTTATAGTGATCAGTTTAATGACAGAAACGAGACAACGAAGAAGAATGTTGAAGAAAATAACAGTGCTTGTTCTGTTCCACCGATGACTGCTTTGTGAGTCGTTCGCGGATAATCGAATGAACAACGTATATTCGTCTTAATGCATTTCCTGTGATACCTCAGCAACCAGGCATCGTCTTGGTTTTTCATCTGGATGTTCAAAATTTTCAACAGATACTTCTGTTTGCATATTTGAAGCGTCTCTTTCGTATTTGAAGCGTAAAGCTGATTCATAATCGACATCCACATAAATATATGCAAATGTTGGTTTTGTTGTTGGTTTCGTTCGAGGTCGAGGAGAGAATTGGCGATAGAGAGATCAAATTGTGATCAAAATGTGATCAAAAATTCAACATTTCACGATGATTCAACCCGACAAACTTCAACTGCAATTGAATGTGAAATCATTCTCACTTCGTAGTCATAACTTCTTATGATTTTGTTATTAGGCACTGAAAATTCTTGAGCTCAAAGAGTTAATCATTAGTTTAGAGCAGCAAACTGAACAAATGCTCATTTCCACGCCTCTTTTGGAAATTTCTTTAAGTACAAGTGAATTACGCAATCGCCATTATTTTCATGGTAGATCAGCTGGGCTCTGATTTGAGATCAACTCGCGAATCATTATCATATAATTCTTCCAGAAATTCATATCATCCCACATTCTCAGCTCGACAGCATTTAGAAATGAGGCAGTTCTGTAAAATATCAAAAATTATCATATACATTTTTAGAAATCATAAACATATTTGCGTAAAAGCCTAGAAAACGTACGGATAGACTATAAATGAGAGGAAAGTTTAGCAAAAGTATCATTGCATAGAATTTGTTATTAGTTGAGGCTGTTGGTTTTGTTCGAGGTCGAGGAGAGAATTGGCGATAGAGAGGTGACTGGGATAAATGCAGCAGCAGCAGCAATCAGACATGTGCAGTGGTAGTGGTGGCTGGTTAATGAAGCAACAGCTGAACAACTACGGTTATGCGTCGTCGTCGTCATTGAACAGTGTCCCGTCTTCAGCAATTAATCTCCTACAACAACCAAAATATTTCGATTGTATTTCATCGTCCCCTATTGCAAGAAGCGAGTTCGAACAACGTCAAGACGCTGTCAGGTATATTCATTCATTCAGTTACCATGTAGTTCAGCTGCATGTGAAGGAGACGCATCTAATGGCCTTGGCTTCAGCTCAGATTTGCGTATTGAGCTTGAGTGCGTGAACTTTCCCAAATTCAGGCATAATTCTAGGGTAATAATTTGGAAAAATGAGCAAAAGTTTTGGGAAAATGAGCGAAAAAGAGGATTCAAAAAATATGATTCGGTATTTGAGTAGAGTTTTTGACACGAATGGTGTTTTTGCTTGGCCGTGACGACAATCGGCCAGACGTTCAATAATTACAAGGGAACACTGAACATTCGATCGTTGATATGCTAAAATTATAAAAAGATTGGAAGCAGTGAGAAGTGAAGGAGCTACAAAGCGTACACGAATAACGATTATAGTAATAGTAAACATATTGAATGGTGACTAAGCTCCTGATTTACATGCCAAAAATACATCGTAAAGAAATGGTACATGAATAGCAAAAGAAATGATGATGTACCCTCAATGATGATCAAGCAATACATTATTGATTAGACGATTATAACTATGAACTGATAATATCACTGATAGCGGTCCTATCCCACTGATAGCGGTTCTATTCTCTTGTTATAATGATAAGGTTAATCCACAAATGCTAGCTCTGATAATGACAACTACACCAGTTGTGAAGACAGCAGTAGCGACGGCGATAATGTGACTGGCAAAAATTAATCGTAAAAATGATTGGAGACAGTGGTAAGAGCAACACTGATATTATTA